GTACCCTTATACCCTTATAGTAGCCGTTTAAAGGAACCCTCACATACCCCTAGTTTCGGCCGGCTTCTACTGTAAAGAGGGGGAGGGGGCAGGTAACGACTCAGGGCCTTCGCGTTGGACGCTTGCGCTGCAGATCGTTTCCCCAGGTTTTTAGGTTTAGGGTTTAGGGGTTTAGGGTTTAGGGTTTAGGGTTTAGGGTTTAGGATTTTTCAGAAAATGAAGGAACCCTGCTAGGCTCTGATCCGTTCATGAAAAAAACGGGAACCTTACATGTGTAATGGGATCCTTAGTGTAAGGAGCCCTAAATGAACTACATCCCTCCCCTGCAAACGAAGCCGGTCCCAAAACCGGGACTTTCAGGTATTCTCAGGTGCTTGTGGTCGTGGGTTCGAGGTTTAGGGCTCGGATTTTGGGGTGTAGGAACCCATGAGCTGCAAAGCCTCAAGCATCCTTGTCGCCCGTGGACCTGGTGCAGTCTCCATACACGACCTCCAACATTTTGCTGACCTTGTCCGTGGTTGTACCGCCGTTGCCTGGACTGCAAGCTTTGTGGCATGTTTGGGTGTGTGCCCCCTGAACCCTGAACCCTGCCCTAGGGCCTATTAAATAATTACCGATACTATTTACTATTTTAGGGGGTTCCTTAGTATGGCTATAGTGCAATACACCCCAAATGGTATTCTAATTCTTCAGGCCCCCTATAGTACCCCTGAACCATGTCGCAAGAAGTACTCCAATCCCAATACCCCGCAAGCCCGAAGACAGGAGCCCACTAGGTCCGGAATGGGCTCCTTAAAAGTTTCTATAAGGGGTCTTTAAAGGGTTATATAAGGGATCTATAGGGGTTTAGGGTCTACTAGGTTGCTGAGTAGTGCTCTTTTTCCCTTTTCGTTTGTTCGGGTCCTCTTCTTAAAACTGAATATTAGGAAAAAGTGCACCCTTATTAGAAAGGTGCTACTCGGGAACCTGGCTAAAGTATAGGGCTTTTGGGGCTGTGTTGCAGCATACTTGTATTTTACGAATGCATGGGAATAGTGAATTAGTCTTGTTTCTTATCATCATAAGCATACTATAAAGACACCCCAATGGATATGCTGAATATTGCTACTGTTTCTTAGTACAAGTATACTATCTACACCCCCAACCCTGTTCTGATAATTTTGGCCCTTACATGAACTCTTCAGATCCCTGTGTTTGACTTTTGAGGTATCCTAAAGCCTCAGTGGCTTTTCCGTGGTCTGCGGGGGCTACCTTGTAGCCTCGGTTTAGGATATTGCAGGGTTTGGGGTTTAGGGTTTGGGGTTTAGGGTTTAGGGTTTGGGGCTTGGGGTTTAGGGATAACTCATCTTTGACATGGAGCATTATTGTTACGTAGGGTTTGAATAACTGAGCTCCCTGAGCTCTTTACCCACGTTCTAAAACCTGGACACTTGATCCTTTCCGTAGGTTGTGCTTCAATCCTCATTTCGCAAGACTCCTGATGCCCTAATGCCTAAACTCATCTGAATTCCGAGAAGGCTGAGGTTTTGAGGTTGGGGAGTGTCAGGGATGATTGGTTGATGGTCTCATCGTCTATTGGCAACTGGGGTTCGGATGTGCGTTGGTCAGGGTAGCCATGAACGGCTCGCTCTGCAGGTTTACCGTGGCCCTCATCACTACAGACGTGCAGGCGTTGCTGTCAGACTGTGAGAAGAATCCGTCTGTGATAAACCCCGGAAGCCCAAAAGCCCAACCTTTGAACTTACTGGATTCTTACAGTTGCGTAGTAATCTAAAACTTTAAGCGTAAGTTTTTGTGGCGAATTGGGGAAGTAAGCTTAATTAGGACGCTTGAGATTCAACCCTGAGCTGTGCAAAGCCCAGAAGTATGTAGAATATCGGCCCTTTATAGGTATTGGGCCATTATTCTACCTACTTTTTGGGGGGGAGTTAGGTATGAAGTGCTAACCATTTAAGCCCTCTCATGCAGGAGCAGAGGGAGCAGGGGAGTGGGGAGCAGGAGCAGTGGCAGCAGCAGTAGCAGTAGGATTAGGACTAGGACCATGAATGAGGACTAGTCGTCTTCGTCTTCGTCGTCGTAGCAGTAGCAGTGGGAGCAGAAGCAGGAGTAGGAGCAGGAGTAGGAGTGGGAGTGTGCATCGTTGTGCGCCCGAGTATGGTTTTATGGCCTGGGCTGTTTACCCTACTCACACCTTCTGATGCGCCACGCCTACTTCACAGTGGCCGGGCGCAGCTTCCTTTTTTGATCCGAAATTGGAACCCACCAGGGCTTTGAGTTGGAGTGGCCAACGCGCATGATTCTAAAAGAGCTGAGTTTCATGAGGTAGCAAAGGCTGACGGAGGCTTCCGCGGTGTTGGCATGCACACGGTTGGTTTGCAGCATTCTTCGCGGGATACCCGTCCGGATGTGCAGCGCGTGCCGGTTATCCATACCGTAGGTGTTGCCTAGAGAACATATTCAGTGCCTTTATCAGCGTATTCGTGGTGGAGCTGGTCCTGGTGGTGTAGGTAGTATATACACAGTAGAATGCTAGCAATAATCGGCTTCAAGCATCAACATGTGGAGATGTTGGGTAAGGCTTGGCTTACAGGTTTTTTTTTCAGATATCAAGGAGCAAGGTTAATCCAGATTCAGGCATCAAAAGTTTACGGGCTGGTATTTAGGTTGTGAACGCGTAGATGCATTGGCCACTTCCCTTAACTGATCTTCAATGCACAGAAACCTAAAACAACCCATGCCATCCCCAAGCAACCATAAACCCTAGGCGCTAAGCTTACACCCCAATCCCTAACCCCTAAACCACTATTAGGGACCCAAAAAGCACATAAGCATGAGCATTTTATAGGGATATCCCTACCTTATCGGGCTTCATTATCAGGGGGCTTATATGGGATATCCCTATCCTCATTTCTGCTTATGTGGTTGTTTGGGCCCTAACTAACCTCCATGTCCCTAAACAACCTTTTTTGCCGCTGCCTCGGGCTCCTTCGGTCCCCCTGGCGCTGTCGACGGCAGTCTTTGGAGGTGGGAGCCTCGTGTTTTGGACCCTTAATGCGGACCCCTAGGTATAGACCCTTAATATAGCCATTATATACCCATTAAATAGCCCATTATAAGGTAGGGGTCGGGTTAGGGGTTCAGGGTTCAGCGGCTTTTTCAGGGATTCAGACCCAAAGGGTCCAAGTAACCATATAGTATGTACTTTAGGGTACTAAGTACCTACTGTAATGGTACTTGGACCCTTTGGGAGAAGTTTCGGGTTTTGGGTGGCGGGGTCTTTGCTGGCATCTCGGGAAATGGGTTTGAGGATGCCCAGCTCGATTTAGGGTTTCGGGTTCGGTGGTTGGGGTGTTGAGTTCGAAGATGCCAAAGTCGAACCTTCAGGGAGGCCGGATGATCCATATCTTCTCAGCCGTTAGTGGCTTGTCGAAGTTTTGGGGAGTGATGCGGACATGAGTCTTGATAGCTTTCATGATGTAGTTGTCGTCGTACCCTGACTCCGGGGTGTCGACGAGGTCTTGATAGCTTTCAACTACATCGCCGTCGCCGTCCCTGATAACATGCATGTGGCCGCTGGTAACCGGTAGTTCCGTGCTTCTGTCGGTGTTGACACCGCTGCTGCTGCAGTTGCTGACGTGCTCGCTTTTTAGCATTAATGTTGTTGCGACTGACAGCTGCGCCTGCTTTCGCCTGCTGATGAAGTAACCGATCGTTGCCTGTGTCTCACTGATTGCTGCCGTCTCTCTCTGTGTGTGTGTTGTGTTTTCATGGTTGATGTGCTTGTTGTTGCTGCGGTTGCTGTTGCTTTCCTTTGTTTTATGTTGCGCTGATACTATCGTCATTGCAGCTGCTGATTTGTTGGTGGCGTTGGTACCAGTGATGCCGTGATGATGATGATGATGATGGTGATGATGATGATGATAATGAGGATGATGGGCGGGTGTCCAGCCAGTGGTGCTAACACTTCTCGTTTCGAGCGGACTTGCATCTCACGGGACAGAGGTTACGCTTTGTTGTCAACTTGCGTCAGGGGTCCTGCAACAGTAGCAGTTCTGCTGTTCTGGTCGAGTTTTATCCGAAACGCCCATTTTGGATTGCCAAAACCTTCAGGCCTTTGTTTCTTACTGGCGGTTCCCTGAGCGGTAAGCCCTTAAAACCAGAACCCTAAACCCTAAACCCTAAAACCCCGAACCGGAATGAAACCCTGAACCTGAAACCCTGACTTCGAACATCTATATGGGGGTTTCCGAAAATAGGGGACCCTCATATAGTTCCCTAAATAGTAGGATCCTTATTATAAGGACCCCCAAATAAGGTACCCCTGTTTTCGGAAACTACCATATACATACTAAACTCTTTGCTACGCAAAGGCTGCCGACCTTCGGTTTTCTACTGGCAGTAAAGCCACCCTGAAGTTAACTCCTATAGGAAACTCCAGAAAGTTGGAATATGGTTTCAGGGTAGGATACCCTATAATTTACCACAAAGGGTTCAGGATAATCATATTCCAACTTTCTGGCTTGTACCTTAAGGGCAAGCCCACGTCAAAGCTACTACGAGGTTTTGCTATCAGTGTATTTATGCGAACATTCTTTTCATGTTTTACTAAGCGTGCAGTACAGCAGGGTCTTCAGGGTTCAGGATGTTCGGAAACATCGGTGCTGCACCGAAATTGCAAGAAGCAGACAATGTGGCTTTTGAGTCCCTGTAGAAGCATACCGTACTATGCCCCTAAAGCCCGTTGTAACCAATTAGAATATGAAAGCCAATACAATATGTATGTATGTATATATATATATATACATATGCAGGATATAGTAGTCTTTCCCGGCTCGGTAAAGCAGAAGTCTGCTTTGACTCAGAAGGAGGTGAGATGGAGTTGTGGTCAGCATCTTTTCGATAATATTTGTTCTGCAAAGCCTCTGCTGCAGCAGCTCGTACTGTCCAACTGAGGCCATACCGGCACTTTGTTTTTTTGTTGAGAGCTTTCCTCCTGGAAGATGCTGCAACCAGCAATGTGCGCGACCCAGATTCCATTGTCTTCTCGTCTTGTTTCAAGTGTGATAATCGGTTTGCAAAGATGCCGGTTCCAACAGACAGAAGCTATCACCCGAACCCAGAACCCCAACCCCTCGTGTTTGTGCCGCTTCTGACTGCATCTCGACTGCAAAGCGTCACTGTAGCTCTCCAACCGGAGTCAGAAACATGAGTAGTAGCATCCCCTTTTCGCTTAATTATATATATATATATATATATGTATATATACATACACTACACAGATATACATATACATATATATATATATATATATACATAGGGTTTCAGTGTTATAGTATACAAAACCCTCAAACCCGTTTTAAGTACTCAGGCCCCCATGTATGCTAATATCCTCGCCGACCCCGTGGCACACTTAGCTGCTCGAGTAGCGACCGCGACTGTAACCTCTCCCCGAGGGTCCCTACACCCTTATAGAGCCCTTAAAGGAACCCTTATCGCACCCTTACAGGAACCCTATTTGCCTAAACCCTAAACCCTTATCGCACCCTTACAGGAACCCTATTTGCTTAAACCGTAAACCCTAAACCCTAAACCCTTATCGCACCCTTACAGGAACCCTATTTGCCTAAACCCTAAACCCTAAACCCTTATCGCACCCTTACAGGAACCCTATTTGGGTGCATGGACCTTAGGGTCGCTGCTTCAGTTGCTGCATGGATGCTTCACCCTGACCCGGGTGCTTAAAACAACAGCTTGAAGGAAATGGAATCAACAATCACAAATTAACATAATGAAACTTGAAAAAACTTCTGATTGTGCAAATGAGGAATAAAGTGTTGCCCCTGTTGCCCCTGTTGGCCTTGAGGCTTTGGGCCGAAAACACCATACCTGCAGGCTCACTCATACCCTACCCCCTTTTTTGGTATCTACTTTTCTGTCTAGCAGATCCTAGCCGCAAAGCTCAACAGTATGTAGAACAATGGTCTTTTACAGGTATTGGGCCATTATTCTACCTACTTTTGGGGGGGGTTTTGACACTAATTCAGGTTGCTGGGCCATTTTGCGCCTTAGGGTAAAGCCTCGGGGTTTAGGGTTGAGGGATGCAGGGCTTTTGGGCTTAAAGGCCATGCGGCTTACTATAGTCTCCTTAGGATATATTTTTTGTTCATATAAAGCCCAAGAGAAGATTCAAAATATTTTTTTTGTGGTTCTAAGGGTGGTATAGATTAAGGGTTAAGGTTTAGGGTTTAGGGTTTAGGGTTGAAAGTCCGGACCGCTTGAATGTGGAGCTGAAACACCATACTGGTGAAAGGCTTCAAGATCCAAGTGCTCCAGTAAAAAGTGTCATTTGTAAAACAGGGCTTGGGCATCTTCTACAGTAGATTTCTAGTATGGAAGCCCAAGTAATAATATTGGTAGTTTCTCTTGGCTTCTATACCGTACATACGCCCTAAATTATTTCCCGTTTGATACCTTTGGGCTTGAATATGCCAAAACTAGGTGTTGTTTCAAGATTCAAAGAGTGGGCGCGATTTGCATACCCGCAGCCGTACGGCGAAACCCTAAACCCTCAACCCTTGAACCCCTAAACCTTAAACCTATAAGCTCTTGGCAAACATAAATACGAGCTTTGGGAAGAAAACAACTATGAACTCTAGTCCAAACCTCGAAGTTGCCAAGGGAGCGCTCTACTTCTACAGGCAGCGCTGGCGGAGCCGCGGAGGTTTCGTAGAGAGATCCGCGCAGTTTAGGTGTTCAGGAGTTGGGGGGTTTAGGGTTTAGCGGTTTGGGGTTTAACGGGGGTTATGGTGTAGGGCTTTCGGGTTCAGGGTATAGGGCTTTAGAGCTTAAACGTTTAGGGTTTGGGTTTAGGGTGTTAGGATTCGGGTTTAGGCTGAACTTAGTATTCAGGGCTTGGTGTTTTAGATTAGCTAATGTTTGGAATGCTTCGCCTGTGGTTTTAGGGTGTAAGGGTCTAAGGGTTTAGGGTGCAAGATTTTTTTCTCGGTTTCATCACAGCAGCGGGCTGTTGGTGTGTTTTGGTGGAGCGAGATTTTCAATCTAGGCCAGCATCTTGATTGTGGAAAGGCCCCTCGGATGATCGAACGATGATGGCGAATATCTTTACTTCCTGCAAGTTCGATCATGCCATATATCCGTAAACCCTGGCCCTAAACCCTATCCCGTTTCCTGGTTGCAGGCGCTTTGGGCTAGGCCCCAGCATCCGTATCGAGCGATGAGACAAATTTAGAGGATTTGGGCACGAAGAAGGATTGACCGGCTTGGCGTACCGATCCTGCAAGATCTCTGATTACGCGATGCGTGCTACATGTCTACTCTTGCGCATTCTGCAGTCAACCATCTGTGGCTTACCCCTTAAAGCCCCGTTGAATGGTTCCACATAAACAAAGGGTGTTTTGATGACAGTAAAGCATGCGCAAAGGCGTACGTCCTAAATCTTAAGTCCCTAAACCCCTAACCCTAAACCCTAAACCCTAACCCCTAAACCCTAAACCCCAACCCCTAAACCCTAAACCCTAAACCCTAAACCCTAAACCCTAACCCCTAAACCCTAAACCCTAACCCCTAAACCCTAAACCCTAACCCCTAAACCCTAAACCCTAACCCCTAAACCCTAAACCCTAAACCCTAAACCCTAAACCCTAAACCCCTAGACCGCAAACACTGAAGCCTGCGTGAGGTTGTCGGCTCGCCAACAAAATGCCGGGGCCTTGTGGAGCTTTGGGTTTAGGGGCTGGGGTTTAGGAGTATATAATTAGGGCTTAGAGGTTTAGGGGCTTTAGGATTACATAATTAGGGTTTAGGATTATATAATTAGGGTTTGGGATTATATAATTAGGGTTTAGAGGTTTAGGGTTTAGGGTTTAAGCTCTAGGGTGTAGGGGGCCCTAACAAATGATCCCTGAGCTAGCTTCTAATACCCGACTGCGATTGGCATCGATGTTGCAGGGTCCAGGCTTTCGGTGAGGGTTAGGGAGGGCCTACAAATTCCATGCCCCAACAACACGGAGAGCATCAGAGTTCCAGGCGGATGACCCGATCCTGAACCGCACACTCATATGGGAGTTTCCGAAAATTAGGGGTACTTTTTGGGGTCCTTATAATAAGGATCCTACTATTTAGGGAACTATATGAGGGTCCCCTATTTTCGGAAACTCCCATATCAGTTATATCCCACACAGGAATCGACACACGATGATCCCAAATCCGAAACCCTATACCCCCAATCTCTGAGCACTAACATATTTCGCTGCTAAACCTTGAAAGGCACCCTAAACCCTAAACCCCCAAAACCCTATTCTAATCATTAAGGCCCCTATACAGGGCCCGAATCGCCGGTGCAAGACCGGAATATCGTAGTGCCCCAGAACCGAAATCGGTTCGTCACCCAGTTGGGTCGCGATAGTGCGGCATTGCTGGTACCCCCAGTTCTGCGGAACGTCATGTGGGACAGCGCTTTGACACTGCAGTATGCTGATGCTGCTGATCCCGAGTGCGATCGAGTGCAACCTACCATCAGGATGTTGATCTTTGACGCCATTCCTCAGTTGCTGCCACAAGGCCCCATTTCACTGAGAGGTCTTCGTGAAGCTCTGGAGTGCCGGATGTGTATGGACCTTTTGCCCTGGCGTACCTTTATCAAACACTGCGCCCATGAGGCTGTTGATGTGTGGACTGGCGAAGGACATGATGGCCCAACACATGGGAATACATGCCTTTCAGCTCCTGCAACCACCTCTAGCGTTTGGCCGGGGTACGGGCGTGGCTTACTGATGTTCACCCAGATGTCTGATGAAATCGGTACAATTCAGAAGTGGCAAGGAAGTTGGGAACCGCTTGCGGTGTTTAGTGGCGTGCTCAACCCTACAAGGCGATGGACTGGCGAGCGCATCACGCCTGATGTGGAGTATCGGGCAACCGGGGCCGGTAGGGGTACCAGAAACAGCATGAGTACCCCATCCTGGCAGCACTTGCTCGTCTTTGCTGGGGAACAGTTTGAGGATGGCGGCGAGCTGTCCGTGTACCGCTTCCGGAAGGGGTCAGAGTTTCAGTTGAAGCGGTTGCTATACGGTGATCTGCTGCTGATGTGTGTCAAGCCGTGGACCAGCACGACCTGTAAATCTAACATGGGGGTGTCAAGCCGCATCGGCAAAGTGGAGGAGTCGGCATTTCGATTGGTGGTGTGGCTACGCGGTGGATTGCCAATCGCTGTCAAGGCTTGGGCGGATGAGACGTTCGCATTCAGCGCGGGTAACCACCACACCTTCGTTGTTTCCTCCTCTGAGAGCACTGAGTGAACTCAATGGTCCTGTGATTTTATTCTTCGGGTTCAGGGTTCAGTTTGGAGACGGTTTTTTCGGACAGACCGGCCGGGCACATCTCCTGCTGCCCTTCCCGAGCTTGCGCTTTGGCAGGTGGCTTTTCAAGCGTGGCAGTTGCAAGTTTTCGTGGTTGTTCATGGAGCTTGCAGCCCGCTCTTATCCCAGTTTGCCTTCTTGTGCATAGGCTGGGTAAGCAGATTTCTGCCCCAGGAATCCACTCGTGTTACAGGCATGAGGGCCTCCCTGAGGGCAAACTGCCTCGAACTTGAATTCAGCATGGATTTTTGGGACGCGCTTCCCAGTGTCGCCCACAAGCGGCCAGAAGCACGACAGTCCGAATCAATCAATCAATCAAGGCCCCTATACTACAGTTCCCTAATAGATCCCTTATAGAACCCCATAAAGAAGCCCTAGTAGAGCCCGTCTAAAACCCTAAACCCTAAAGACTATCCAGAAGGAGCCTGACTCGGCCCCTGCAAAGCGAAGTTTGTGAACAAACGACTCTTTGAGGTGGCTTCACGGTTTAGGGTTTTAGGGGTTAGGGTTGAGGTTTAGGGGTTAGGGTTGAGGCGTATAGGGTAGGGTAGGGGTATAGGGTAGGGTAGATGTCTTAGGCTTTAGGGTAGAGGTTTGGGGTTTCGGGTTTCGAGGTTTAGATGTAAAATACGGCTAGGGGAGCTAGGGGTTAAGACTGTAAGTGGGGCTTCTTGGGCTGGAAGTCTCCGGTGGGCAAGGTGCGCAAGTTCAATGTCCTGAATCAGTTCATGTAGCGGTCTGGGTTTACTTGAAGATTGGCAGGGTACATACGGTTGATGATATAGATCCTGCATTACCCATAATAAGGAATATACCATAATAGAAATCCTGAAAGAACCCTTGCAGCACGGTTTCTTTTCAGTACGGTTTCCAAAGAATCCTTCCCTCCAAAATCTTACACTTCCGAGAATACAGGCTCGGAACAAGTACCTATAATATTCCTGACGGTTCCTCATATGAGGGTTACAGTAGATCATGCACCCAAAACGGAAATTTAATACCCTATGCCCCTAAACCCAAACCCTAAACCCTAAACCCTAAAACCCTAAACCCTAAACCTGTAACCTACAAGTTTTGCGGTGCACCCAGGGGTTCTGACCGACGAAGGGCCCGGAGCCAAAACTCTGACCCGGGTCGACGTGGGTTTGGGTCTTCTAGGACCCAGAGTATGCCCTTATTCCCTTTTTTAGGGTTCAGGTTTCCTTATAACCCCCTTTAAGCCAAAAAGGGCACCCTTTTTATTCCTAGGTTACTCTGAGGTCTAGTCTTTACAGCGGTTGATATAAAGGTTTTGTTTAAGGCTCTTCAAGGATTTTATGAGAGGTCTACAGGGGAGTTTCCGAAAATATGGGACCCTAATATAGTACCCTAAATAGTAGGGTCCTTTTTATAAGGACCCTAAAATACGGTATTCCTTATTGTCGGAAACTCTAAACCCTTATAGACCTTATATTCGTAGTAGGATCCTTATTGTGAGGACCCCAAGAAAAGGTACCCGCAATTTTCGCAAACTCCGGTAAGAATTCTGCAAGGATTCCAGAGTCTGGAAGGATCCAGGTTGAAGGTCACAGAGTTTAGGGGTTCAGGGGTTTAAGGTTTTAGGGTTCAGGGTTTAGGGGTTCAGGGTTTAGGGGTTTTCGGGTTCAGGGTTTAGGGGTTTTTGGGATTCAGGGTTCAGGGTTTAGGGGTTTAGGGTTTAGGGTGGTGTAGCAGAAAGTTGGAGCATGGGTTAAGGACGATTAGTGCCAGGGTTCCCTTTATATTGCCCTCTGGGCATCAGGATAATGATGTTCCAACTTTCTAGCTTCTTCCGTGGGGCTCTAAGGTGCTAACTCAGGTTCACGATTTTGTTATTTGGGGGCTTGGGTCGCCAGGCTTCGACGTTTTGATTTCTACATTCATATGTATCTGTCTCTGTATATATATATATATATATATATGTATTAGATGTATCTATGTATGTGTTTTTTTCTTTTGTTTGAGGGGGTGTTGGTTAGTTTCGCATTGTTTTCAAATTTTTAATCATCAGGACGCTAGAGCCTCGGAGATGTATGTCTTGTCATTCTTCCCTAAACCCTAAACCCTAAACCGAAAGCTGGTGGCGACTCCTAAGGACAACCACAGTTCTGTCAAATGGGTGGTTGTCAAAATTATGGTACCTTCTTGGGTCCCTATTATAATACGGCACCTATTATTTAGGATACCCAAAAAGGGACCTCAATCTTGACAGCTACCCAAATCGACAAAAGTCTGTTATGAAGCCGTAGGATCCTACATAGCCGCCACAATAACAATTGCCTTGCATGGCTTGGCTTCCAGCACCCTTGAACCTAGTTAGAATAGGGCTTTGGGGCCTTATACCGTAGTTATAATATGAGGAACCCCCAGAAAAGTAAAGGGAATTATTAAGGCCCCTACACTATAGAACCCTACTATAGATCCCTTGCAACCCATTTGAAAGGAACCCTTTACAGGAACCCTATTCTTTTCATTAAGGACCCTGCCTGTAGTTCCTTTTTCTGGTGAGCCAAAAACTCTAGGATACTAACCATAGAATTGGTTAACCAAGAAAGGAACTACCATGGAGACTATAGGTATACCGTAAAGAAATTTAGAATATGTAAACCTCTATAGAGATCCCTTATAACCCCTTTTAAAGGAACCCTTTACAGGAACCCTATTCTATGCATTAAGGACCCTGTAGTACGCCCTAGACGTGTGCCCTCGGAGACCAGAGGCTCTGGAGTCCGAACAAGTCAGGCCAGTGGGCTTCGGGTTTAGGGTTTAGGGTGTGGGTTTAGGGTTTAGGGGTTTAGGGTTTAGGGTTTAGGAGTTTAGGGGTTTAGGGTTTAGGGGTTTAGGGTTTAGGGTTTAGGGTTTAGGGATCGTGAAGAACATCATAAGATAGATCCCTGACGCGACGTGTCGTGATGAGTTGAGCTTTGGAATGATGTCGCGTTTGCCATTTTGGCCAATCGCTGTTGTTGCTCTTCCTGTTGTTGCCATGGTCATCGACATTTTAACAGGTATGTTCCTATGCACACATGTGCGATGCTTCGTGATAGGCCTGATAGGCCCGATAGGGGTGTTGCTGCACCGGGCTTCTCCTTCGATGGACCTGACCGTATTTGCTGTTTTTTTTTTTTTTCTGCGGTCGGGCTTCAGTTCTGCAGGGATTTGCTTGGTTTGTTCTGTTTCGCTGTCGGTTTTATATGCGCCATAGCCCAGGGAAATGGGAAGTTGCAGACACGTTTGCAGGTGCCCTGCCGGATGTGACTATTTTGGAAAGCTTTCAGTCTCTTCTCACCACACTCTCTGATTTGGGCGAACTAGAGCTTCCGTTTGCATCGCAGGAAGTTAAGACTTCAAGTCCAGCCTCTAGGCTTCTCCGAAATCTTGATTAATGAGTTCTTGCAGCAGCACCAACCACTTCTCACGTTGCTGTTGGCTCCTTCCAGGACTCTTATGGCTTCCACTACTATGTACCATCACCCTTGCTATCAGTCTGAATCAGACTCTATAGACTATAGACTCTATCAGACTAGGGCACCGCTTCACCATGACGACGGCGCATTCCCAGCACCTGCACTTGCTGCTGCTAAGATCAGTCTACTGTCGTAGTGCCACTGCAATGATGTTCCCAAAGGGTCCTAGGTACTGTCATGAGTGATACTTCCCCAAATCATCATAGAAATACCTAGTATAGAAACCCTACCCGTGTACTACGCAGGCACTTTGTTTGGACCCTGTGGGGGTTTGCGGAGAAGATGAGCGCCCAGACCCCCGGGAGGATCCAAAAAGTAGATCCCTTAATGGGGGTTCCTATAAAGTACCAGTATGGGGCCCCAAAATTAGGGGATCTACTTTCTAGATCCCCCCAGGGGGGTCTGGGTGTCCCTAAACCCTAAACCCTAAACCCTATCGTCGTCGTCGTCGTTATGCAATCAATGTATTCCCGAGTTCTGGCCTCGCCACTTCTTTTTTCAAAGGGGAAGAGGAGGGACCCTTAATAATAAGGACCCCTAGGTATATACCCTTAAGATATCTATTATATACCCTTAAGATAGCTATTATATACCCTTAATATAGCTGTTATATACCCATTATATAGCCCATTATAGGGTAAGGGTCCCCATTAAGGGTCCCTCCTTTTCCCCTTTGAACCTCTTCAACAACGCCCCGTAAACCATGCACCACAACGACCTTGTGCTTGGAATCCTAAACCAACCGAATGCATCCAGCACATGCTGTAGTATTGTGTTTGCGGACGTCTAGCGTTCAGGGTTTACTGTAGCTCTACAACAATCTTATGAGTCTTATGCATTCGCCATTGCCAGGTGCATACTCGCGAAACTCAGTACTCAGTGCAACATGGTGTTTTTCCAGATGCCCAGGGCAGGATGGGCGGTTCTCAGAACAGGAATGCGGTCTTCACAACGCGGACGCTACTATCCATGCTTCTCTGCTTTCTCTACCCTGGGTACCTTATTTGGGGGCCCTTATAATAAGGATCCTACTATTTAGGGTACATAAACATATAAAAGGAGGGTCCCTGCGTTCTCTGAAACGTCTCCGCCTGCCGAAGATCTGAAGCTGGCCGGCTCTGTGGGCAGCAAGGTCGGTGTCTGCATGTGGGTAGTTCTCTATATGGGTAGTTCTCAAAATTAGGGTCCCTTTCTGGGTACCCTAAATAATAGGTGCCGTATTATATTAGGGACCCAAAAACCTAAATCAGGGTTTGATTCAGGAGCCCAAAAGAAGGCGGCACCGTACAAGAAGTACCCTCAAAAGGGACTCGTAAATTTGAAGAACTGCCCATGTGTGAGAGCTGCGTGTGTGAGAGAGAGAGAGAACGCATTTTTTGAATAATCCGTAATTAGGGGATATTTCAAGATCTGGGGGTGAACCCAAAGCCCTGAAACTTAAACCCTGATTCTCTCGACCCGAAACATGAATCCACCCTAAACCCCGAAACCCGAAACCCAAAACCAGAACCAACCCTAAACCACTAAACCGAAATCCACACTAAACCCCTTAACCCTAAACCCTAAACCCCTTTAAACAAAAACAGCCTGAACTCTTGAACCCCCCTCCTGGGATCCCAAGACCAGAACCTGAACGCTGCAAGGAGGAACCCACAAGCTGAAACCTTACATTCCTAGAATTTAGGGTGACCTTAAGGGTTTAGGGTTTAGGGTTTAGGGTTTAGGGTTTAAGGTTTAGGGTTTAGGGTTTAGGGTTTAGGGTTTAGGGTTTAGGGTTTAGGGTTTAAGGTTTAGGGTTTAGGGTTTAGGGGTTTAGGGTTCAGGCCTAAACCCTGAACCCTAAACTCTGAGGTTACCATAGCGGTTACTGTAAGGTTGATATAAAGGCGAGGTAAACGGTTGGGCCTTGGTTCCCCAGTAGTGGTTGTTTAGGCTGAAAACTCTGGCTTAGGGTTTTAGGAAGGTTTGGGGTTCAGGGGATGTTAATACTACCCTTTTGGGCTTTCTCATTTTGGGGGTTCCCTTGTTAAAGCCATGATAGGACAAAGTGTACTTTTGTCGTTAGGGGGGCTGCTGGAGAGCCTGGACCGTTTAGAGTTTAGAGTTTATGGGGCTTGAGGGTTGCGAGTTCATAGATTTTGGTGTTTAGAGTTTTCAGGGCTGAGGGTCAAAAGGTTTAAAGTTTAGGATGCGACAACTCCTGGAAAGAGGTGTAGATAGGGCTGGTAGATTCTGACTGGAATATTGCACAACTTACTATTACCTTTTGCCCTTCAGCATGGTTCCGGCTATGTCCAGTACCATTGTCTTTATTTCAGCGGCCAAGGAGCCCTGCAGAATTTCGTACCGTTCGATGGTGCCCTGTAGCACCCGACTTAGACCGAGACCCCCGGCAGGATGTGGAAAATGCAACTCCTGCTTGAGTACCCTGACCATGTCCTGCCCTCTTCCGAGTACATGCCCTGACCCGACACCCCAAAATCCTAGACCCTGCAACCTGAAGCCCCAAGCCCGAGCGCGGCTCCAATAGCAACCCGGAATTCTTACCCAAATAGAACCGCTTAAAAACTAACAACTGCACGGCCCCAGGCCCTAAAGCCCTGAACCCTCAAACCCCAAAACCCCAAAGCAAAAGTTTAAGAACCCTAAATCCGAAAGCCCAAAGCCCTACTCGAGGAGAACCAAGACTTCACCGAGCCGGACGAGGAGCCACGACGCCAGCCTCGTGGCACAACGTCCGTGGATTTTGGTGTTCCTTTGAGGGCTTTAGGGTTTGAGGGTTCGCAGATTTAGGGCTGAGGGTTTAGGGTTCAGCGGTTCTGGGGCTTACGAGTTCCTTTATGGGTTCCGCTAGGTTCTACTCAGTAGGTTACTTCTAAGATTTAGTAGGCTCTACGGCTGTTCCGGGTTTGGGGTTTAGGGTGTAGGGACCTCAGGGTTTCGGGTTTTAAAGGGTTTGGGTTTTGGGCTGTCAGGCTCCCATCAGATCGTTAGGGTATATCAAAGGGGAAAAGGAGGGACCCTTAATAAGGACCCCTAGGTATATACCCTTAAACTCGCCATTATCTACGCATTATATAGCCCATTGTAGGGTAGGGGTCCCCATTAAGGGTCCCTCCTTTTCCCCTTTGAGCATAGGATGGTCTTCAGGGCGTTAGGGCCTTTTATGGCTTCAGGGTTTTGGGGTTCATATGGGTGGTTGTCAAAATTACGGTCCCTTTTGGGGTCCTTATTATAATGCGGCACCTAATATTTGGGGTACCCCAAAAAGGGACCTTAATTTTGACAACTACCCATATCTAGGCCCTGAAAAACAAAGCCCAAGCGTAGTGAGAAGACGTTTTAGAAGGGCCTGCCTAAACCCTAAACCCTAAACCCTAAACCCCTAAACCCCTAAACCCTAAAGCCCTAAACCCCTAAACCCTAAACCCCTAAACCCCTCACCCTAGGGAATCGTGGGCAAGGCCCAAAATCTTACCAACCTTAATGGATTCGTGGGCAAGGCCCAAAATTTCCTACCAACCTTAATGGATTCGTGGGCAAGGCCCAAACTTTCCTACCAACCTTAATGGATTCGTGGGCAAGGCCCAAAATTTCCTACCAACCTTAATGGATTCGCGGGCAATGCCCAAAATCCTACCAACCTCAATGGATTCGTGGACAAGGCCCAAAATCCTACCAACCTTAATGGATTTGTGGGCAAGGCCCAAAATTTCCTACCAACCTTAATGGATTCGTGGGCAAGGCCCAAAATCCTACCAACCTTAATGGATTCGTGGGCAAGGCCTAAAATTTCCTACCAACCATAATGGATTCGTGGGCAAGGCCCAAAATCCTACCAACCTTAATGGATTCGTGGGCAAGGCCCAAACTTCAGGGTTTTAAGGGTTCAGGGTTTAAGGGTTCAGGGTTTGAGGGTGCAGGGTTTAAGGCAGTTTAAGGGTTCAGGGTTTTAGGGTTCAGGGTTTAAGGTTCGAAGCTGCGAAAGAAGTGAAACTTTGTATGTCCCTTATGTTATGGGATTCTAAGGGTGGGTGGGTGTTATCTCCAAACCGTAAACACAACTCTACTTTAAAACTCCTCGAACCGGAGCTGCTGAACCCCTAAACCCCTAAACCTTAAAGCCCTAAACCCCTAACCCCTAAACCCCTAAACCCCTAAACCCCTAAACCCCTAAACCCTAAACCCCTAAACCCCTAAACCCTAAACCCTAAACCCTAAACCCCTAAACCCCTAAACCCCTAAACCCTAAACCCCTAAACCCCTAAAGATGGTTCAGGGCCCGTGGGTTTCAGGAGCTTTGGCACCCGAGGTGAAGCGGGCTCTCGAGAGCGGTTGAGGATTTTAGCCTTAACCCCAATTCTACATATGGGTGGTTGTCAAAATTAGGGTCCCTTTTTGGGTCCCTTTTATAGTACGGCACCTATTATTTAAAATAGGGTACCCACAAAGGGACCCTAATTTTGACAACTACCCATATACCCTGAGGCATAGACGCCAAACTCCTAAACCCTCAACCCCGGGCCGAGAATCCCTAAAACCCTGAGCCCCTGCTGCTTGGGCAACGTACCTGGTGTTTCTCTCTGTCCCAAAGGCTCCATGTAGCCATATAGTATATACTTAGGCCTTAAAGGGGTTCTTATGAAGGTACTTTAGGGCCTAAGTGTATACTATATGGCTACATGGAGCCTAAGGGTCAGGGTGTGTGTGGTTTTGGGGATGTTGGTTTGGGTTCTAGGTATCTTGGGGTTGTTTTAGGTTTGGGGCCTGGGTTCACAAGAGGAGTCAATCTCTAGACCCACGAAAGTGCGTAACTCATCACGTTTGACTTTCTGGCATCTGTTTTCCGCTGAACTCCTTAAAGCCCTGTTCAAAACCTAAACCGTCAGGTCCTGAAGCCCCTTTAGCCCTAAACCCGTCGCGCCTAACGGCCTAACGACCCTAAACTCTAAACGCCTAGTGTCCCTAAGCCCGCAACCTCAAAGCCTGAAGCCCACAAACCTGTATAAACTCTCCTATGCCCTTCCTAGAGGCTCGTACCTACCCCGTTTTTGGGGTATCTCATTTCACGGTTAGGATCTGTTAAGCAGACAAGTAAGCACCCGAAACAAGGGGTAGGGTATGAGCCTCTAGGTAGAACCCGAAGCTACAACCCCAAAGCCTGAAACCCACAAACCCGCTTAAACCCTCAAGCCATATACACTCCTCCTAAACCCTAAACCCTAAACCCTAACCCTAAACCCCAACCCTAACCCTAAACCCTAAACCCTAAACCCTAAACCCCAACCCTAACCCCTAACCCTAAACCCTAAACCCTAACCCTGAACCCTAAACCCTAAACCCTAAACCCTAACCCTAAACCCTGAACCCTAAACCCTAACCCTAAACCCTAAACCCTAACCCTAAACCCTGAGCCCTTGACCCTGAAGCCTCAGCCCTGAACTCTGAATCGTGAACCCTAAACCCTAGCCAACACCCATTAAAAAAGAACCCTGAACCCCAAAGGGTTTAGGGTTTAGGGTTTAGGATTTAGGGTTTAGGGTTTAGGATTTAGGGTTTAGGGTTTAGGGTTTAGGGCCCCAAACCCTCACCCTATAAGCCTTAAACCCAAAGCAACGGCCACCCAAGGATCTCCAGCATCTCACGTCAGATCTCCACCTTCTCACGGCAGCAGTCCAGTTTGTCCCAGCCCTTCTCCGAGGTGCCTCGGGTCAAGCTGAGGGTTTAAGAGTTTAGGGTTTAGGGTTTGCAGAGTCTAGCACTGAAGCCCGAAACTCTTTCAAGCCTCACCGAACCAAGCGCTAACTTCCAATGTGCTAGATAATACTGCCGATGGAACCCCAAGTATAATTCCACTATTAACCTACCCTAACAGAGCCGATGAGGAGCCCTAAACCCTAGGGTTTACGGTTTAGGGTTTTGGTTTGACTCGGCGGTTGTTCTAAATCCGAGTTCGGAGCTCATCGGGGAAGGGGACGGCGAGAAGCAAAACGGAGTCGGTGGACAGAAAGTAGGGGGTTCCTCACTCCTCATTGTTACACTCAAACCCTAAGCCCTGAAGGAACATGTAAACCCTGATGCCCAGACCCTAAACCCTAAACCGTATAACCCCCGTTAAGGGAAGCCCTATAGGTCCCTTTAAAGGACTATAAGCCCCCATATATCCCTTTAAAGGAACCCCAAGCCGTCTTTCATTCCCCGTGTCCTTGTGCAGATCGATTTGAACGTTGACTTTCAGGAGGCCAGGGCTTAGGGTTTTGGGTTTAGAGTTTAGGGTTTAGGGATCGTTTACATTTAGCATTATTCGTTTGGTGTCCTGTCGTAGACACATTAGACACTTTCCCGCCGCTCAGTTTCTCTTGCAGGGCCCTTTGTCGTAAAACCCACATGCGACTCGTTTCTCGGCATTTAGATGCGAACCTCATGTTTGTTGTGACCACTGGCTCGAAGGACCATTAACCTAGAATCCTAAGCCCCTCCTTGCCGCGGGTCTATTTAGTTCTGCCTCACGTTGGACATTCTGGTAGACCCGATCAACCCCACTTGCTTTCAGTTCCCTCTGTTGTCGCAGCACTGAATCAAAGGGGAAAAGGAGGGACCCTTAATGGGGACCCCTACCCTACAATGGGCTATATAATGGGTATATAATAGCTACATTATACCTAGGGGTCCTTATTAAGGGTCCCTCCTTTTACCCTTGGACTGAAGCCGTTGTTCAACCGTTAGCATTGAACTCATTGAATCAGGCCTGAGTCTGGTCGGTCGTATAGTGACAGCCACCTTTTTTAAGCAGCATCACAATATGAACCCTAAACCCTAAACCCTGAACCCCTAAACCCCTAAATCCTAAACCCAACCCCATATTATGAAGACAGGTAGCATTCTTGAGTCACCTGCAGCTACACTGGGATGTCAGCATCTGCCAGATCTGCCAGTCTATTGCCGTTCAAGCTCTGGGGAAGCTCTGTTCCTGCCCAGAGATCCCAATACCCCTTAATTAAGGAATATGCCTTCAACTATAGGGGGCTTAATCTTATGCGTAGTTCCGATGTAGATCCGTTGAGGCAAGTTTCGTTTACAGCAAGTTCAGCTAGCCGCATAGGCTATGGAAAGAAGAGGGTCGGCCGGCCAAGACAGAACTGGGTCATGTTCAGCAAGAAGTATGTCTATGAGAACAAGCTTCATTTGCCCAACTATGCAGAAACTGCTGAGCAATTGTCTCCGCCCGCCTCAAGACAACACACACGCACCTGCGGGCCACTTTCGCCGGTTGATCGAACATAGCGAAATCCTGAAGCACCAAACCCATAAATCCTAGACTTAACGTATTCCCTCGCATCTGCTTTCGTCACCAGCTACCTACCACTTGCTGTCTGTTCAGCTGGAGCGACGAGACACGCCTTATTGAAGACAACGTGCTTTCAACACATACTTGGAGTTTCATGGGTAGTTATAAGTGGAGTTATAAGTCCCCTAAGATGGGTCATAAATATAGTTACCCTACTTATAACCCCACTTATAACTACCCATGAACCTCCAAGTAAGCCCTAAACCCTATACCCTTATAGAGTCTCTATAGATCCCTTTAAAGGGACCCTTACAGGAGATATAAGCTATATTCCTTAATCCAATGTAATCTTTCACAAGTCCGACAATTCTTAGTATAATATACCCCAAAGCCCTGTTCTAATAAAGGCCCCTAATTATAGAACCCTATGACAGATCCCTTAAGAACCCTTTAAGGACAACTGTACGCGCACCTTGAGATCCCAATACCCGTTTCTCAGCCCTACCCTGTTGTGACTGTAGCGAGTCGCTCAAAAGCAAGGCGTTGGCGCAGCACGGGCGCAGAACTAACAAAAACCTTGGTGTTAAACTTGCCTTCGCAAAGCTGCATCATAGACTCGGTGCACAGCCTGCCCCCACAGAAACGTAAGACGCGCACAGTGGTTGCATTCTAAAGCGCCTAACCTGAAAAAAACCCTGTTCTAAATATCAAGGCCCCTATATTGTATTGTTGTCAGCAGCTTGGTTGTTCAGTCCCTTGGGAGGTCGTGCGTCAGCTGAGCGAAGCCCAGGAGGCGGCTGCCGAGGTCGCGAGTGGATTTGCTTATGGGTTATTGAGGGTTTGGGATTTTAGGGTTTAAGTTTTTGTGTTTCATGTGTGTGTGTGTGTGTGTGTTGGTTGTTTGCTTTTGTGCAGTGTTTTGTTGTGAACATATGTTATAGCCATAGCTCACAGCGATTTTGGCATTAAGCGATGTAGCTTGTAGAGATTTTGTTGCTTGCAACCTACGACGGGATTCAGTCTTTCCCCTTCGCGTGTGAAACAACCTAGAAGAAAATTAGTCATACTCTTCCTTCCGGTCCCTAATTTTCAGTATAGTAACTTAGCAAGTATACCCCATAACCCGACTCTGATCGTGATAAGGCCCCTACATGGGGAGTTCTGTGAATTAGGTTGGTGCCCCCCAAAAGGACGGCACCCTTGCAAAAGGACCCTAAAAGGTACCCTGATGTGGCGAACTTCCCAGTTGCCTATCCTAAACCCTGAACACTAAACCCTAAACCCCTAAACCCTAAACCCCAAACGCCCAAAGCTCAATGGTTCATGCCAGGCAGAGGCCTCCAACACCAGAGCAAAACCCGAATCTCCAAATGAAGTAGAGCTTATATTACCATTTTGGTAAGTGTAGATAGGGCTCCTTTTGAATTTTGGTGAGTGTATGTATTGGGTTTTATTATGGGGATACTAGTAATATAAACCATACTCTAAATACCTATCAGGGTCCCTTCAAGGGCCACTTTCAGGGCTTACCTTTAGTCTCCATTGTAGTTCCTTTTCGGGGTTACCTTTCAGGATCCTTAATATAGAACTGGTTAAACCAAAAAAGGAACTACAATGGAGACTATAGGTATACCGTGAAAAAATTACGAATATGTAAACCTCTATACTCTAGTGCAGGAGTGGAGTAGCTGCAGCAGCTAATGTTTGAAGGCAGTAGATGCCTCCACTAGTGTATGCCTGTTTGCCTCTGCTGAGGCGGCTAATGGGCCTGCAGCTTCTGCAGCCGGGAAAGGGCCACTACACTTCACATAGCAAAACATAAATCCACCACTTGAAACTCCCAAACCCTTGAAACCTGACAACTGGATTAAGCAAAAACGGACAGGCGCAGCGCCAAGCGGCCGAGGCAGAGGCAGGTGGACCGATGAGCCCTAGACTCTTATAAACCCTAAACCCTAAACCCTAAAACCCAAACCCTAAACCTTAAACTTTTAACAAACCCCCGACACCTTAAACCCTAAAACCTCTAAGCCGAAGCCGCATTAGCCTGTTAGCCTCTGTACAAGCCGAAATAGCCCCAAGGGTCCATGCACCCACACAGCATACATTGAACCCAAAGTACACATATAGGGACTACTTTACACTACTTTACAAGGCCAAAGTATATACCATGTGGGGATATACATGGACCCTTATACCCTTAGTGGAACCCTGTTAAGCCGAAGCTGACTACTGACAGCTTCGGAAGTCGGATTTCAGGCTTTAGCAGGCTTTACGATGTTTCAAAGCTTGGGGCGTTCAGGGCTTAGGGTCTTCAGGGTTTAGGGCTTTACCTGAACCCCCAAAGTATGTCAAATGATGGCCTTTGAGTATTGGGCCATTATTTTACATACTTTTGAAGTCCAGGTTCGGGTTTAGGGTTTGTGCTGAAACTGGCTTCTGGAGTACCATACTTTAATTTGTTGCTTTTTTGGGAACCTGTTTCTTAAAGGATCCATTCTGAAATGGAAGTTTGTATTTTAATTACCTGACGGGCATTTGGAGTAGGACCCTGAGAGGAAGTTTTCTCACATTATACTTATGTTTCTTCCAACAAAGGGCTCCTCATATCTCAGAAGGGCGGAGGATATCCGATCTGTCCTGGACCCACAGCTTAATTAACCCTCAGCCCACCACCCGGAAAGACCCGCACACATCCATTCGCAGGCTTGAACCACATCTTTTTGGACCTTAGCTGTGTTTGGCGTCCACAGTTCTGGGAAGCTCCGGTAAGAAGGACATGGGCTCCGATATACTCTTAGTAGCCCAATCTGCAGGGCTCTGGGTTACAGAGACGCTTGCTGTAGGGATCTGACAACTACCTTGTGGAAGGTGCGAAACAATAGGCCCAATATAAATAGGAACCCTAGTAAGGACCAAGAGTCCTACATTAGATTCTTTGGCCTTCCCACACCATCGCTCTGTCCACTGAAGGCACGGCAGGCTCGCGCAGAAGCTGCGTTGGCTAAGGAGGCTCTTCGCCATAAAGCAAGCTTTAGGGATGTGTCGGGTTTCAGGTTTCCGGATTGAGGTTTAGAGAATCGAGTTTAGGGTTCAGGATACATGTGCTTGGGGGGTCGGGGGACTTAGTAAGTAGGTAATTATTAAGTAGACTTATAAGTACCCTAAAAGGGACGCTAATTGGGGTTATCATACTTACAAGTCCCGAAAATAACCAGTTACTAAGTCCCCCGACCCTCCAAGTGGGATCTGCAGAGATCGGCTTCAGGAGAACTTCAGTGTCCTCTTGCACAAGCTACGGAACGGTTGATGACATAAATCCTGCATTACCTTAAGGACCCTAAACTCTGGGAATTATGGTATATTCCTTATTATGTTTAATGCAGGATTTACATCAACTGAAGTAGTGTACCCAGGCTTCAGTACCTCTGGGAGTCTGAGAGTAGGTCGTCGCAGCTGTTGGAAGTCGTCAAGTCTACAGTGGTGGGAAGTCCTAAAGTGGTCCAAATTCCAGCAATGTAATACTCTTTTTTGCTGAGTCCCTCTTCACAGTTGTAGTAGAACCTGCCCCCAAAACATACTCTTACTATGAAAGGTCCCAGAGTATCCTGACTTCAAAGACCGAAACCCAGGACTCACATACTTGGAGGGTCGGGGGACTCAGTAAGTAGGTAGTAATTAGACTTATAAGTACCCTATAAGGGACCCTAATTGGGGTTATGGTACTTATAAGTCCCGAAAATGACCAGTTACTAAGTCCCCTAAACCCTAAACCCTTACAGAATCCCTATAGATCCCTTTAAAGGGGCCCTTAAGGAACCCATTATGTTACTAAGTCCCCCGACCCTCCAAGTACAGAACCCCGATCTCCAAAGCCTCCACGCCCTGCACTCGTAATCGTGCCAGCTCCGAAATTACCGTCACAGTAACCCTTGTGTTAAAACCATAAGGTATAGTCGTATGTGTATTTTCAATGTATATATATATATATGTGTAGAATCATGTGTATACATCTGTATATACATGTATATATAATTTGAGGTGTCTACATGAATAAATAAATGAATAAATAAATAAATATATAAATAAATAAAAAATATATATATATATATATATATATATCAATTTCGGTTTGCCTAGTCATTTATTTGTTTATGTGGCCCGTCGGGGCGTCAGTGCCCCAGGCTTGGCAACGCTGCACCATCTATGACATGTAACCGCCCTCTCAGAACCATAGACATAACGATATCCATTATTGCAGTAGCGGTGAAAGACAACCCATCAAGCACAAAACCCTAAACCCCTCAACGCAAAACCCCTAGACCCCCTAAACCCCTAAACCCTAAAACCCTCATAGAACCCTTGAAGATCCCTTTAAAAGGTACTACACTCCCTAATGGATTGCAAGGCCGAGGCAGCCATGAGACGCAAAGAGAAGGCAAGGGGGGAAGGGGGGTCTGTTTAGGGGGGTGATCTAGGGTTTAGCGTTTAGGGGGTTAGCGTTTAGGGGTTAAGGGTGAGGGTTTAGGGTTTTTAGGGCTCAGGGTTTGAGGAGTGTTGGGGTGCTTGGGAAAGTCGCGGCATGCTTGGGTTTCGCCTTTCGGGGTTTATGCTGGTTTTTCGTCCTGTCTCCGGGCCTGTGGGATTTACTGATTTAGGGTTTTGGGGTGTAGGGTTCAGGGTTTAGGGTTGAGGTCACTGGTTCTGGAGTGTCACATTTTATTATAGTTTGTTTTGCACCTGTTCTCTACCCCGGGTTACTTCGAAGCTCAGTCTAGTGCTCAAGGAGTTACCGAAAGCTCCAACCCGTTCTGCTCATGCAGGCAGCTGCGATTTTGGAGGAGGCACGGCAAAAGCGCTTGAGCCAGCAGAAGGCGTGGACCCGAGATGCTTGCAAGCTCAGTCTGAAATGGGAGTTTCCGAAGATTTAGAAGTACCTTATTTAGGGGGTCCTTACAATAAGGATCCTACTATTTGGGGTACTATATTAGGGTCCCCTTTTTTCGGAAACTCCCAAATCCGAAGCCCCCAAACTCCCAAATCCGAAGCCCCCAAACTCCCAAATCCGAAGCCCCCAAACTCCCAAATCCGAAGCCCCCAAACTCCCAAATCCGAAGCCCCCAAACTCCCAAATCCGAAGCCCCCAAACTCCCAAATCCGAAGCCCCCAAACTCCCAAATCCGAAGCCCCCAAACTCCCAAATCCGAAGCCCCCAAACTCCCAAATCCGAAGCCCCCAAACTCCCAAATCCGAAGCCCCCAAACTCCCAAATCCGAAGCCCCCATGCTTCAGAAAGCTGGAGTCGTAAATCCCCGGGGTAAGACACGCTTCTCCTGTGGGCGGATGTCAATATTAGGGTCCCTTTTTTGGGGGGTCCCTAGTATAGTACGGCACCTAATATTTAGGGTACCCAAAACGGGCCCTAATTTTGACAACCACCCATGTACCTGCAAGCCAGGTGGTAGATTTGTTGGAGCCTCACAGTATCAGGGGCGTCTGGGTTCAGGGCTTGGGGCTTAGATTGCGACTCGGATGTCAGGCTAAGGGACGAAGGTTTATCGGTTGTAAGTTTACGGTTCGCTGGTTTGGTCAGTGCTGAGGGTTTAGCTAGGTAGGGCTTTGGGACATTTTATATTTTCCCTTCTTGGGCGTGAGAGGATCTTATTTGCTAATATTTTTCAATAGCTTTAAAAGCCCCACCTAGTTAGGGTTTAGTGTGAGTTTGGGACTGCTGACCTTGTAAACTACACGTGTTTGTGAAAACGAAGACCACGGCCATGAATTTGTTCAGAGACTCCAATAGCCCTTAATTAAGGAATATACCTAATATACCTAGTTCAGGAATATATCTTAAATTATAGAAGGATCCGTCATATGATTTAGAGAATATTCCTTGATAAAGGATATTGGGGTCTCGGAGTCTCCGGGTGTCATTCAGCAGGCGCGAGACTATGACTACGAATGTCGGGAGATCCTTGTCGCCAAGCCTCTAAAACCAAGTAGCACCATCATCAGGCAGCATCGCCCTAGATCCCGACAGGCTCAACCCCTCAACCCCAACACCTCAAACCGACTCAAACCCCTAAGCCTTAAAACTATAAAACCATAAACCCCTAACCCCTATATATAAACCCTAAGCCCTCAACCCCTGAACTAAAGCCCTAAACCCCCAGGCCCTAAACCGCTGAAGCCCCAAACTTGCAACAGGCTGAGAAGGCCGACAAAGCCGAGAAGGCCGACAAAGTGGACACGAAGCCACGGAAAGCGGAGCCCCTTCCGGAGTTGGAGAAGGCCTAGGGGAGGACTTGCTAATATAGGGGCCTTATTGTTTCCCTACACAATTTTGGAGGGTTCCTTGTTACATTTAAAGTTATAGTATAACCCTCAACCCCTAAACCCTAAACCCTAAGCTCCCCACAAACCTTTTCTATATAAGACTACGGCCCTCTCATTAACTTGAGGGATCTCTCTGCTGGTTGAAGTAAGTGTGCTGCTCTAGGGTCCATATTATCTGTGTCATAGTTGGGTATCATTTTACATTTTTATGGGTACTTAAACCCAATAAGGAATAACAATTGAATTTTTTCACCCTATCCCAACCATGAACTAGTTATAGGGTCTCGGAGTTCAGGGTGTAGAGTGTAGGGCTCAGCCTTCCGAGATGTTTAGAGCTTGAGTTTAGGGTTGTGCAGATTTGTTCTGTTGCATTTTGCTGAGGGCGTTCTTATCTTGTGCGGTGTCTATCGTGGTGTAGTAGCTTCGGGGGCATGTACGAGGCATACCGACTCATATACAGTTGCTTGTCATATAGCAGTGCAGTATGTCTATGCGGGTAGATACAGGCCTTCACGCACCTACATTCTTATCAACCCTTTAATGACAGGCAGGGTTTCAATTCAGTTAGGCACTGTGGAACGTCATTATAGTCATTATAGACTACCGGTTGAAACAACAAGCCGACCATGGACGAGTCCGTTTGTTTACATTTGTATGTTCTATCTGATTCTATCTACCCGTCTACGATTTCCATGAATACCTGTCTTGTCTAGAATTAGTTCATTCGCATACCAACTGACTCATCTGTCTGCCTGTCCGTCTGTCGATCAGTCTGTCAGTCAGTCCGTCAGCCAGTGAGTCTGTCTGTCTGCCTACCTCAACACGTGCATGCATACACACGTGCATCCATCCACCCTCCCATCAATGCATCCGTCCATCCCTCCCTCCCTCCGTCCATCCATCCACGCACGCACGCACGGGCGCACGCATGCACCCACCCACGCGTGCATGCATGCACGCACGCATAGGTATATCGCACATACGCAAGCAGGTGTATACATGCAGGCATTGCTGCGTACATCCATGAGAGGAACATCTTGGCCGGGCATGTATATCGCAATGCCCGTATTAGCATTCAAGTCCAGCCAACACCTCGAATTCCGAGCCTACACCCCAAATCCTGAACGCTGAAATCGCATGCCCAAGCCCCAGACTCTGATACAAAAAACCGATTTGTTTGACCCTAATATAGTACCCTAAATAGTAGGATCCTTACTCTAAGGACCCCAAAATAAGGTACCCCTAACTTTCGCGCAGAAGCCGTCAGCGTCTGCGGCCAAGCTCCTCTCAATTCCATCAACTCGGACCCCGGTCCACCGCCAAGGTGGGTATGACTTACCGTTGGTTAGTAGGGAGTAGTAGTAGTAGTAGTAGTAGTAGTAGTAGTAGTAGTAGTAGTAGTAGTAGTAGTTATAATTGTACCCCACTCCTCCATTCCCTACTAACCAAATGTAAGATGAGGGATTTAGGGTGTGTGGTTTGGGGTTTGGGGATGTTCAGGGTCATGGGAATGAGGCAGAGAATCTGGAGATTTGGGCTGAAAGCTCCACTCTGAAGCCGTAGGAAAGAGTGGGGCTTCGAGTTCGGACAAAAGTACTGTTAGTATGATTCTTAGTATTATTATTATTGTTATTATTATTAGTAGTAGTAAAATTTTTGTTGTTATTATTATTGTTACTGACGATGAACTAGCACGTTACGATGCTTGCGGTCCTCACCATTAGTATTGTTTGGATGTTCTTGGATACTGCCGGCACACAGTTGCAGTGGGATAGTACTGTTACTGGCGGCAGTACCCAACACACTGCACGGTGAATTCCAGTCAGTTGGAACATGGGTTCATCCTGACTAGGGCTGGGATCCCCTATACTTCACCTTCAGAGCATTAGGGTAATGACGTTCCTACTTCCTGGCTTCTACTACAGATGATCTCCGTCAACTGATCATGTCATGCTTCCTCGGGAGCCGACGATCCTGAAGTCCAGGATCTATTTTTAAAGGGTCGGGTGCTTATTGGTTTAAAGATCTGACATCGAAGGGCGTTGGGGGGTGAGCTTACTACGACCCTCATCGGAGCTCTGGGAACCCGTGAATTCACAGCCGTAGCTTGGGTGGTCTAGCAGTTTGAGAGTCAAGGTTGAGATTTCAGAGACCCTGAACCTTAAACCCCTAAACCCTAAACCGTATGGTTCAGATTGCATGGTTCAGGAGGGGCTTCGGCTTTTGGATCGATCCTGGCCCCCATTCACTAACCGCCTCCCTGGTAGTCAACTCACTTTGGGGCCAATCCTCCCGAAACCATCCCAGCTCTTCCTAATTTGCATTAGGCGGTCCGGAGCAAGAGCAGGAGTAAAAGCCACAGCAAGAGCAGAAGCAATAGCAAGACAAAGCCAGCGCCTGAGCGAGAGCAAGACTCGCAGCAGGAGCAGGAGCAAGAACCACCACCATCAAAAGTAACAAAACGCTCTCCAAGCTTTTGGGGATTGCCCTAATCTCTGATTCCGCCACGCCGGCTTTCGGGTTTCGGGTTTAGGTATACCCATAGGCTCCAAAGTAGTCCCTTGTTGGAGTTACCTTATAGGGTTCTTTCTTTCTATGAACCCCAAAAAGGAACTACTATGGGGCCTCTGGGCAGCCCCTAAACTCGAGACCTTTTGCAGGGCATCGCGGTCTTGCCTCGCAGAGCCCCAAGGCTGGAAAAAAACCCTCAAGCGGCCCTGGGAGGGAAAGGGTTTTAGGGTTTAGGGTGGCTGAGGTCCTCCGCTTTTAAGCGCTTCAGGTATCGGGAGGCGACACAAAACATCAGGGGTTGCCATGATTTGTCGATCTGGGGCTTACTCTGGGATGCAGGATGTTCTTGTTTGTTTCCCGGCATCACGCAATAAGCAGGACTCAGCTGTTCTTCGGTTGGGGCCCGAGGTTCCTCAAGTTGGGCTCAGGGCATGCTAGCGTGCATGAACTTGTATTATAAGATCTCGGGCCCGATATCAGTCGTCGGACTTTCAAGCGCATTGTGGAACGGTAGAAATGTTAAAAGCCCCATGTCCGAATCTCGCTACGATGGCTTTTAACTGCCCCTCGGTGGTATGTGTTCATGGCTATAGTTCGTGTGGTGATGAACTCTTTTTTTGTTACGTTACTTTTCTTTTTCATAACGAATTCCGACGCTTTGCTCGGCTGGGATTGGCAAAGTGTTGCGTAACACCTAAAGCAGTCCTTTGATCATGTTTGATGTTCTTACGATTGTCAAGCTCCTTCTTGTTTGTTTTGACTTCCGGTGCTCAGGCGCGAAACTAGTTTGGCAAGCATGATCGGACCCATACCCGAGCACCCCGAACCACGAACCTGGCAGGCGTGATGCGAACCATCATACATTTAGTTTCGGAGTGAGGTCCATGAATCGAAGCCACCACAAAACAGAACAACCACATAACTAAACAGTAACAAAAGTGAAACCCCCCAAACCCGAAGCCAATTTAGTACTCCCCTTGAGCTAGTATAGACCCTAAAAAGTAGATCCCCATCAGGGCATCAAGACCTCGTTCAAAACGAAGCGAGAAGCCTCCAGCCGGCGCCTTAGCTCCCAGGCTTCAGGGTTACAGGGTTTTGGGTTTAGGGTTATAGGGTCTAGGGTTCAGGGCTTATAGGGCTTTAGGGTCATAGGGCAGAAGGGTTTAGGGTTATAGGGTTTAGCGTTATAGGGTTTGGGGTTTAGGGTTCCCTCCAAAGCTCCGCAGTGGCTGAGGGTTTTAGTGTCTAGGCTTCAACTGGCTGGCGTCGGAGTATTGCGAGGTTTCGGATTTATATACACATAATTATGTAAAAAAACATTAATATGTATATATATATATATATATATATGCATATATATACACGATTATATATATAAATATATATGATTATATATATATATATATATATATATGATTTTATCACTCAGGTTTGGGGGGCTCGGGGTTTGAGCTTAAACCTTCTTGAAGGTATCAGATGTTTTCGTCGAAGGCCAGTGCTTTCAGGACTGGTCGTTCATGGCTGGAGGGTTCCGTTCCACTCCAGAGACGCTAATAGGTCCTGCTAACTTTTTGACCCTTCGAACGGACACTGCGACAGTTTTCGTGGTGTTTCGACATTGCACGTATACACACACACACACAGATACCATTGCATGCATGCATGCATGCATGCATGCAGACACATGCGAGTATATCTGTATGTATGTCTGTTTGTATGCATCATGTGTGTTTGCTTGCTTGCATGTGTGTGTGTGTGTGTGTGGTGTGTGTGTGTTTGTACATATGTATGTGACGTGTGACGGTGTGGTTGTTCGTGATTTTGCTCACTCGCTTGCTTTCTTGCTTGCTTGCTGTGTTCGCTTGGTAGTTGTGGGCCCTGTGCTTACGTCAAACTGTTTTGGCATGGAAGAAGCATCAGCAGCACCACAAAAGTGGCAGAAGTAGCGGAGAATCGCCAGATAGACTGAGCCCGGGACCTAAAGTCCTCGGCGAGGAGCACCAGCACTTTGCGCCCAGGAACCTTCGCACAGTATTTTGCTGAAACGCATCACTCACAAAGGCCTGAACATTTGCCAATACTAGTGCTTAGTTTGTGTTAGGGCTTCGTAATGCAACTGTACAATACTCTTCTCTACTTTACCATGCTTTACCTCTATGAGTTTCTATACTTTATTAAACTTTTTCTCTCATACTATAGTACATAAGGCCCCTGCACGACTTCCTTTAGGCCTTGCTCGCATGCCTCGCAGGAAGCTGTACTCGTGCGAACCAGGAAGCCGAGGCCAGGGCTCCGAGACAGAAGCTTAGGGCCTTAGGGTTTAGGGGTTGAGGGACTAGGGATTAGGAGTTAGGAGTTTTGGGCTTTAGGGCTTAGGGGTTTAGGCATTAGGAGTTAGGAGTTTAGGGTTTTCGGATTTAGGGGTTTGGGTTCAGGGATTAGGGGTTTAG